TCCTCCTCCTCCTCCTCCTCCTCCCTGGCTCCACGGAGGATAGAAAAAACACCCGGACCCGACCGCTGGCGTCTACAAAGCGGTGTCGCGTGCCAGGGTGGTTCTCACGAGGGCGGATGCTCGGCTCTGGACTTTCAGGAGGGGAAAAAACACACAGACACAATTCATCGTCGATTCCCCAGGGAATATGGGAAAATATGGGAAGTGGGGGGGAGACAGAAACCCAGAAAATATGATAACATATGAGACATATTTTTATTTGTGTGTATTTATTTGTGTGTCCTGGGGCCCCTTCATACTTGTTGCCTGTGCGCCCCAGCTCCAGCGCGGCCCGCTTGGCTCTCGGAGCGAACGCCGGCGTCCGCCCGTCGCTGCTTGCCCACGAGCAAAAGCTCCGGCGGCAGCAGGCGCATCGAAGCGGACTCCGGCCTGCCGGCATGGGGCCCCGCGGAAACCTCCCATCCTTCGAGCTTGACACACCTGCTCCTCGTCCTCCTCCTCCTCCTCCTCCTCCTCCTCCTCCTCCTCCTCCTCACTCCTCCTCCTCACTCCTCCTCCTTCCCCTCCTCCTCCTCCTCCTCCTCCTCCTCCTCCTCCTCCTCCTCCTCCTCCTCCTATCCGCGGAATCCGCGGAGACGGACCTCACGCCCTGACACGTCGATTAAGGAATTGGACGCTTTCGGTTCGCGAGAGGGCGTCGCGGCTGTCATTTTTGCGGGTCCAGGCCCGTCGGTTTCGGTCCTAGGCCGTTTTCGCTGAGGGGAGTTGTATGAATGGGAGGTTTGTCCCCCGCCGACATCCCCCGAAAGCCCTGGGGCTCCGCATTACGCTCTGGGGCACCTTCGGACCGTCGAAGATCGACGGAGAATGTGCTCCAAGACTTCTTGGCACTCTTGGCGCGGACTCTTGTTGTATGCGTCTGCCGTGGAGGGGGGCTCCGCCCGCTCCCCGAAGGTGCTCCGCGGCCACGTCCTGAACTGGGTGCGGAAGGCGGCAGGGCCTGCGGACTGCACACATGCAGCCCCGATCAGAGGCAGTCCACGAGGGTGGCTCTGGGGGACATTTTCCACCACGGCTACACATGTAGGACGGAGGAGAATGGAGGATGAGGAGGTCCTCCTTCTCCTCCTCCTCCTCCTCCGCCTCCTCCTCCTCCTCCTCCTCCTCCTCCTCCTACCTATGGTAGTGGTGGTGGGGAATGGGCCCATTATGGCTCCATGGGACCGGTCCGGGGCGATCCCGGCACGCTGGCGCAGCCTCCCGCCCCCCGGGGCGCTCCGCGCCGCAGGGTGGAGGTGCCGAGACCGCCCTGGGCTGGGCTGGGACTGGTGTGTGCGTGTGTATGTTTGTGTGTGTATGTGTGTAGTCTGCCGTGTCGGCTCCCCCCCCCCGCCGCCGGCTTGCCGTTGCTGGTATCCCCGCCCCCGGCGCCGCCCCCGCCGCGCGCCTGGCCCAGCTCTGAGCGGGCCTGGCTTCCTCTCTCTCGCCGCCGCTGGGCGCCTTCCTCCTCCTCCTGCTGCTGCATGGCGTTCGTACATCTACCACAGCCCTGTTGCCAGCGCAGTGATTCTGCCTAGCAGCCGATGGACAAAGTGTGTGCGTGTGTGTGTGTGTGTGTGCGTGCGTGCGTGCGTGCGTGCGTGCGTGCGTGCGTGCGTGTGTGTGTGTGTGTGTTTGTGTGTGCGTGCATGTGTGTGTGTGTGTGTGTGTTAAACTGTATGTGTACTTATGTGTGGATATCATGGTCGGGGCCACGGGATCTCCTTGCTTTCATGTCCTTCGTGCTGTTTCAGCACGCCCCCGCCCCCCCGTTCACTCGTCCGCGCACATGCCTAAAGCCAATACGCGCTGTCCCGTCTTCTCACAGCCCGCTCCTCAGACATGCGAGTTCCTATGTTTCAATCGATGCGCGGTCCCCGGAAGTCCCGCCCCTTTTCTCAGGGCCCGCTTTTCATCCCGGGTAGTTCTTGACCGCCTGGGGGGCCCTGCGAGGGCCCCCTGGAGGCCGAAGTTGGCCAGAACTTTTCCGCCGTGTCTTTTCTCCACGATGCGAGCACACCCGGTAGCTGCGCACCTCTGAGGATCTGTTTGTGCGCAGCTTTTGGCCCGGTCGGCTTGAAGGAGTTGGCCGAGGCGGGCCGGAGCCTGGAGAAGTTGCGAGCCGCGATCGCGGAGGCTGGGGTGCAGGGCCTCCCGAGCGAGGATGCGGCCCTCGTCGCGGCGGAGGCGATCCTCAGAGAGGAGGAGGCCAAGGAGCAGGCGAGGGCGGCCGTGAACGATGCTGCTGCTGCCGGATGATGATGATGATGATGATGATGATGATGATGATGATGATGATGATGATGATGATGATGATGATGATGATGATGATGATGATGATGATGATGCTGATGCTGATGCTGATGCTGATGCTGATGCTGATGCTGATGCTGATGATGATGATGATGATGACGGTGATTTTTGATGATGATGATGCTGTTGATGATGACGCAATTGGGAATGATGATGAGGAGGAGGAGGAGGATGCCGACTTTGAGGATGACGATGCTGATGCTGATGCTGATGATGATGATGATGAGGATGCTGAGGCTGCTGCTGCCCATAATGATTATGATGATGTTGATGATGATGGTTGTGGTGGTGATGATGGTGATGGTGATGATTACGATTCTGGTGTAGGCGATGACGAGGACGATGCTGACGACGATGTCAATGCCGATGCTGATTATGATGATGAGAATGATCAATGAGGAGGATGCTGATGATATGATGGTGGTGATGATAACGATGCTGGTTATGCTTACTGACATGATGATGCTGGTGACGATGCCAACGATGATGATGTTGATGATGATGATGCTGCTGATGATGATGTTGATGATGCTGATGCTGCTGCTGCAGATGACGATGATGATGCTGCGGATGATGATGATGCATTTTATTATGACGATGACGATGACGATGATGATGACGATCATGATGATGAAGATGGTGGTGTTGATTGTGATGGTGACGGTGATGATGATGATGATGGTGATGGAGTGGTTGTGGTGGTGGCGGTGATGCGGTGGTTGTGGTGGTTGTGAGTATTGTGATGGTAGTGGTGTTTGTGGTGGTGATGCTTGTGATGGTTCTTGCTGCTGTGGTGATGATTGTGATTGTGATCGTTATGGTGATAGTGGTGGTGATTGTGGTGATTGTGATGGCTGTGATGGTGATGGTGATGGTGATGGAGATGGTGATGGCGCTGGTGTTGGTGCTGATGCTGCTGCTGGGGCTGGTGCTGGTGATGGTGATGCTGATGGTGGTGGTGATGCTGATGATGGTGGTGATGCTGATGACTTCGATGACGGTAGTGATGTCACAGGCGAGCGCGGCCCTAGACGAGGCCGTCTCCTCCATGGACATCCTCGCGCTGGAGGCGGCCGTCCGCGCCGGCGAGGCCGCGGGGCTCACCGACAGCGAGCTGCAGCTGGGCCGCAAGGCGCTGGCAGCTGCGAAGCGTAAGGTCGCTGCGCGCGAGGGGCTGGCGGGCGCGGTTCGGGACGTCGGGTGGCGTCAACCCAGAGCTCCGACGGTGCGGTAGGCTCGCGCCGTGTCGACCGGCGGCGACCCCGCCGCCGTCGTTCAACGTTGACTGCCGCTGGCGGCCCAGAATCGATCAAGGTTGAACGAGCCACGCAGGGTCAGAAACCAACGCCGAAGTCGGCACGTCCGTCGTCGATGGACGGGCTTTAGGGGGTTCTCGTGGGCTCCTGGGGAACTTGAAATGCCTCGGGATGCTCTCCAGCAGCTGCGCCTCGCCGCCCGGGCTCCAGGAGTGCCCAGATCGTCTGGAACAGCTGCTGGAGGCCCGAGCCACAGCCCGGCAACATCCGCGAGGTTGGAAGGTCGAGGGTCGAGGCTCGAAGGTGGAGTTTTTTTTTTTTTTTTTTTTTGTTTTTTTTCTCCGGGTCTCCTGGGGTGCCCTCGTGGCAACGGCTCGATGCACCTGAAAATTCCGGCCAGAACGCACCCCAGGAGAGGTCCCTGGGTAGGCTCCGACGCTACGCGTTTCGCACCTCGGCCGATGTTCCGCGAGGTCGGCCTCTGGGGCCCGTTTGCGGGAGCGGGTGTCGTTGCAAGCGGGCCCGGGGCGAGAGAACACCCCGGGGGAAAAAGGGGTCGGGGCTTCGGGATCCGCGCGTTGGACGTGCCACATCGGCGGATGTCTGGGAGGCTGGCCGCCGTCGCCGATCCGGCCAGCAGGTCCTGGGCCCTGGGTCGGCGTGCATGTGCCTCCCGGGGGCCCCGCCCGGGAGGGCTGCGGGCGAGAGACACGGGTCCTGCGCCCCGGGTCGGCCCAGCCTGCAGGGACCATGTTTCGAGCCGATCGCTCCGATGGCCGGCCCGGTTCGATGCGCAGTCCGATCCGATCCGACTTCCCGATTCGATGCTGACTGATCCTGGTCAGCCCAACGTGCTATAGCACTCTGTGTTCTCCGGTGTGCGGCGCGTCCCATGACCAGGGCAGGCGATGAGGCGGCCCGCTTCCAGGCATCGCTCGGACGTGCGCATCTTTTCTCGGGACGGACCGTCGAGGAGCCTTTTCGGCCATGTTGCGAAAAATACGCGCACGAAGCCCAGCGATGGCCAGGCTTGTTGCCCCCCGAGTTCAGGACGGGTGCGCGGCGGCGCTGGAGGCCGCCATCGGGGAGGGCGAGGGTGCCGGCCTGTCGGAGGACGAGCTGGCCGGCGCGCGGGGGGCGCTGGAGGCGCAGCAGCGCCGAGCCGATCCCCAACCCCCACTGGGCCATGGCTTCTCAGCGTCACCGGCCCACACCCACAACCCCCGGGTGATGGGCCTGTGTTCCACCACCACCACCACCAGAAGTAGGAGGGGGAGAGGGTCCTCCTCCTCCACGTTCTCCTCTTCCCCCTCCTCCTCCTCCTCCTCCACCTCCTCCCCCTCCTCCTTCTCCTCCTCCTCCTCCTCCTTCTCCTCCTCCTCCTCCTCCTCC